GACAATACACATAATGTAGTATTTAACCGCGCTATATATATATTCACGTAACGTAGTATTTAACCGTGCTATATATATTCACATAACGTAGTATTTAACCGCGCTATGTGTATTCACATATTTATCAAAAATCTACCTTTAACTCAACTATTTTTGAACTATATTTATCAACTATAAAAAACTTTCTGTTTTTAATCCGATACAATTTTTGATTACATGAACGGGAGGGAGAAATTCATTAATTTACTCAACTGAAAAATAGATCATTATCAATAAGATTTAACAACAATAGAAACATAATTTTATTTGATATATCTTGCAACATAAACAAGTACATATACTTATTACAACTACATTACGAAATCCAGTTACTACGTGTATCCTTGATAGTTGGGCATATTAGAAGAACTCTCACCAGGAGCTGGATTACCACCGCCACCCAAACCAGCCGAAGGACATTTTCGATGGCCATGTCCTGTTTGCGAGCATATACCACATTTGCGCGTATAAACAGTATCGCTAATATCCATTTGGTTCCGTATACGCGTTCTCTTCTGCACCTGTATTCGACGCAAATAGTCCTTGTTACACACCATTTTAAATGGTTCCGACGGCTAATAATGCTCAGCACCCACTGGCTGCAACTGCCCACTATAGGTGTTTAAGTAAGCAGCAACACTATATTGTTTATCAACGTAGTTGGTTGGCCCTAAACCTGTATGTTAAAAGCACCTGATGGCATGTGACCACGGCATGTGGTAGATGGATTATTTCCCAAAAGAGCATAACCTTCTAGATTCATTTATGGTATGTACATTATTTCTCCGGTTTTGATGGATAGCGGTGCGAACTTCAAAAATATTTTTATCGTGATCATACTACAAAAATGAATGCCAATGTGCTCGCCGCCTGCATTTCTCAAATCTCTTCATCGGCAGTGGCATAAATTCAACACCCATTTCCATCAATGACGTTGCAGCTGCAGCCTTTTCAACAAACCTCTATGTCATCTGCTTGAACGACATCCGCACCATGGCAGTGACAGGCAATCCTCTTGCCGACTTTAATAACCCGTTGAAAGACTCTGACACGTTTATAGTCAGAATTCCCCATTTTCTTCCACTATTCGCATGCAAAGTCCACTTGTGAAGCTCATGTCGCATCAACCAATGATAGGCTCTCTCGTCTTACTACCTCATAGATTTCATGTGCCTCCAGAATTTATAAAGGTTGGCATACTTGGCAAGTTATCAAGGTAGGGAATCTTCCTTGAATAAAACAGCACTTGAGACTTGTACACTCTTGGTCTAACGGAGGGTGGAGCATACTCCCTCGTCAAATCAGGTCCGTCATTCTCTTCTTCCTCATCACCATCCTCACAAGGGAAGGGTGTGTCATCTCCGGAATCATCGGCATTGTTGTCATAATCACTGTTCTCTTCCTCACTCTGTGCATCTGCCAGATCCCGATTTAATATGTCGTCTTCGGGCAATTGAGTGAGGACAGGTGGTTCAACTTGCTCGTTTTCACTGCACAAACAACAAAATAATAAGCTACTGAAATTAATAAATAATGTCCATATAGTTGTATCACTTCAATTACAAGTCGTAACGTGTTGACATTCCTTGATGGACATTATCCTGTTGGTGATGACTCCGGATGGACCACTATGATCCAACACACCAGAACTACACATATTCCAACTGGGCGTGGGTTCATAACTTGTAAAAGTCATATCTTAATGGTACCACCTGTGGAATATATGAGTGTTAATACAAATTCAATACAACAAAAATATACATCGTAACACTAAGGAAAATTGAAGTTTACCATTCATCTTGTGAATTATGTAAAGCAAGAGAGAAATTATTTTCTCGCTCCTCATTCGCCCGTGGTGATAAGTTTAAATCAGGGGAAACTCTTTCATCCGGAACCTGTCCGACAAAAACTGCACCAGAATAACCACCCGATGACTGAGGGTTATCCCTACTATGCGCAACCTCATTATTGCGAACGTCTTCCACCTTGACATACATTTCCAACATTTTTATCACAAGAAATTCCCGGTATGCATCCGGAGTCCTCAAAAAATCCCTCAAAGTTTCATCATCGTCGATGTTAAACTCAACGTAACAAGCAACCCTTTGCGGAGTGATGGAATACGGATCTCTTCCGGTTACTTTAAGGTTCACCGAACGTTTCCTCACACTCATTTTATTACATAACAACGATNGCATGGTCATATACCACGCTATGCATATAGCGCAGTTTACAGTGGCGTTATATATATATAGTGCTCTTTTAAAGAGCGTTATACTTTAACGGCTTAAAGTATAGCGCTCTTTAAAAGAGCGCTATATATAAAAATGTCACTCTTTTATTTAAACACACATTTCCGTCACACTTGTTCAAAAGAACCACAAATGGGTTCTGGACTGGGCAAAAATGCCCTACTTCTCACAGTGGAGTAGAAGCTGGCAATATTTGCTGCAATCCTCTTCTATTTAGTTTGTCATGTGTCAAGCATCTTCCAAGAATCAACCCGCCGTTATCAACTTGCATGGCCAAACATCTATTTTTTGTAAGCTTTGATAGAGCCAGCATTGACCAGAGTATTGCCCATGTGTTAGATTAACTGATCTTTTGCATTGATAGAGCCACCTTGATACTCCATACTCCAATTGTCTCAACCAAAAAGAAAACTTATTTTTTGGTGTTTAAACAGAATCGTGCTAATGTCAGGCTCAACTTTTTTCACTTGATCTCTCAAGTTGTTTACTAGAATAGAGCTTTCTCTTACACTACAACAGCAAGTGTATCCAATAAAATCTTTAAACTTATCCCTCCCTCCCTCCATCATCAAATTGACCACAATGCTTGCTATCAGGAATCAACTCAATCAATCTCTATTTTTACAACCGTTGCTAATTATATAAGATCAAAAGTATAACTAGGTCGCAGTTTTCTTCACAAAAACCAAAAGATAATTAACCTTAGCTTGTTACAAAACCACATACATAAAATATCCACATCCTAAACTCCAACGTCATTTTATTCTCTTAGAAAAATGTGTGAAGATATTGAAATGTCCCATGAATACTGAGGAGGGAAATATCAATATCCATGCCATTCCCGCGCCAATACTCGAATCTAATGCCTTCTGCCTCTTTTGTTCTTTTAGACTCATCAATCAAGGAAAATCTGTATCGGATGCCTTACCTCATTTTCATCTTTTAAACTCATCATGAAGTTCTTTGTTTCAACCTCTTCACCATCTATATGTAAAACATTGTTCATCCTCAATACTTGAGGTTCAGGAAATCCATTTCCAGTCTTTATACCCAATTTTCATAACCTGAAAACTACACTCAAAAACTAAGAAATAAAAAAGCTACTCATTCATTATTCGCCTATTTAGTCCAGTCACATTGTTCCCTTATGTCAATTTCTTTAAGGAATGTGCAATGATATTAAAAATCTGAACCCCAACTATTCTTAAAGAAGGAGAATAATTAACTCTCAGTTTATATATATCACAGTAAGTCACAACAATGTAATGTCAATAGCCCGTCAGTGAAAGCGGAATTAGATGCAATTCACCCGAATTAAGGCTATTAAACACCATTAATATTACTGTTGGTGACATACTGACCATTCACACATAGCAAAATCGGCCCTTATTAGGGGCCAATGTATGTGACTGGCTAATTGGTCACCTTTTTTTTTTATTTTTTTATTTATCACATCTACATAAATATATCTAATACAAGCTCACCAAATATATCAAGGGACAGTTTTGTGCATAAATAAATAGCAACAAATTTTGAGGTACAACAGGCATTTTCATCGAACTCCGCTGACTTTTGGAGCTGGAGAGTAGCAGAGCGAGAGACACAGTGAGGTTAACAAAAGGCTAGGGTTTTTATGGGATGTATATATAATGTTAAGATGAAAAACAAATATGGTGGCTAGGGTTTTGGAATTTTCCGGGTCGGACTGCTTGGATAGGCTAAAACCCGATTTGACTGGCCGAGTGATGGGACAAGAACAGTAACAAAAGAGAACGGCATTGTTTGGGTTTTTTCGAGATAAATGAGTGTGTGGCATTTTGAAGGTTAATTTGGAATGTTTTTGCTAAATATTCTACTCGGAAAAAGAGAAAAAAACAATACTAAGCGCCCCATATGCTCCAATTTAAGTGAAACACTTGTTTTGTCACTTCGATATAAGTTGTTGATAAAACAATATTTTCAAATAACGGCGTCTCTCATGTCACAAGCTAAGTTAGAGTGTAAAAATTGCGCCAAATTTTAGAGGCTATCTAGATCTTTTACTTTTTGTTTATGGAGATAAATAAAAGTGTGAAGAAAATAAATTTTGAAGAGTTAACCGAAAATCTACCGGAAAGAGCACGAGAAATATTATTTATTGTAACATCGTTCATTCTCCTCTCTTTTTTAATTTCAATTTTTATCTCCCATTTAAAATTTAAACTAACCAAATATGGCAAAGGAAAACACTTGCATCTTAATTTTCCGTTGCTATGCCTATTTTATATTAACACCAAAAACAAGTCCGACTGTGTATAAAAAAGGAGAAACTTTAATTGTGCGCAGAAACTAGTTAGAAAAGAAAAGGAAATTATAAGAGGAGACGAATTCTAAGGAGTAAATGAAAGAGAAAACGAAGTCTGTTATGCTCTAACCAAATAAATGGTTACAAAAATTGTACTTAATGAACTCAAATCTGATTAATTCAAGTTCAAACCCCAATAAGTGGAAACAAACGTTACTTTTTGCACAAACTGCTATCCATATTCATTCAAGAAAAATTGAACTTTCCGCCCGCCATGAAGAGCGTAGCAGGTAAAAGTAAATGGCTGCAATTTTCTCCTCTCTTTTTTCTTTTTAACTAGGAAAAAATGGATAATGTAATCCTCTCAACCACTACTCTTTCAATGAAAATTAAAATAGCTCCTTTTGGTTGTGTGGGTGGTTGGATGAGGGGAAAGAAGAGGAGATTTCATTCCTGTAATAACTATAAACTCTACAAATCTGTTTTGCAAAAATATCACCTACAAATTAATAAATCCTTCAGAATAAAGAAATTCTCGAGCAGTAAAAAAGACTATCAGATTGTCACAAGAATAATTCAGAAGAAAGCAACTAGAGATTTGGTGCGTGAACCGAAGACAATAGTCATTATACCTACAAACTGGCGATTTGCAGAGAACCAAAGCTTAAGCTTCAAGTGCCCAGAGAAAGAGCATTCCCGAAGAAAATAGCACCCCGCAATTAATATTGTTGCGGATATATGGACATTGACAGCAATCAGTCATCTTCATCACTTTCATATTGTTGACATAACGATAGTAGACCATTGCTTGTCACACCAGTCTTTTCTGCCTCTTGCTGGTTTCCTTCTACTGTCTTCTTGCTGTTGGAGTCTGAGGGCGGCTTCTTATCTACGGATATTTTGACTGACGAGGACTTGACAATGATTTTACCATCACTCGATGATGCTTTATCTGCAACATAAGTCATGAAAACAGGGTCAGACCTAAACGGCTATTTTTCACCAAATGACCTAAAAAAAGTATCTATGACCGTTATTAGTTTATTTTCAAAGTAAAACCAGCAAAATCTATGATTATTGAAGAGTTAATGACATCTCATCCATCAAATTTCAAGGCTGAAAACTCTAACTCACAGCCTCCCACCCCCCACCAAAACCCTCCCCGAGGAAATAAAAGAGAGAACAAGCCATGCAAAAAAAAGTGGAAGATAACAGATTGCTTCGTGGACAACTATGCATTCACTATCGTCACCAGCCTCCGATTTCAAGAAGCAAATATTAAGCGCAACGGATGGAAATCACTTCAAAGACTATTCTTCAAATGGAAATCCACTCACATGATTGTCATAAATGAAGGGTATTCTGACCCCAAAAAATAAATCGAGACATAAAAGGTTATAGGAACAGTGGAAAGCGATGATACACTCAGAACAGAATCAGATGGGTCGATTAAACCAACCTTTGTTGATAGAGCTGTCAGTAACGCTGGCTTTTGTCAAAAAATTGGTGGGTTTTTCATTAGGTTCCTCAGAAGCCTTTCTCCTCTGCATTAAAAGAATAACAAGCTTAATGTTAATAAGAAACAACAAAAAGAAGATTTAGACTTCAGGCATGATGAAATTTCAGATTTCAATCTAACAGTAAATGCTCCCAACAAAACTGTCCTCTAATTTTGTGGATGGACATTGTAATTTTCTACTTCTATTTAGTTGCATGTAAAACATACGACAGGTCTAATGCAAAAAAGATTGATCATTTTGTAGACGCTGCCACTTATTGGGCCTCTCTAGCAAAGGAAGATAATTAACAGAACTTTATATTTCCTTCGCACATTTTTTGTTCTATTTAAACGAAAAAATAATATTCCATACAAATATCTGTTGTGTGTATTTACTTTTTCATTTAATGATAGTATCAATCTTATGCTATTCATATATCATAATATTCATAACTGTAAAAGATTCCAAGACAAGCTTCGTGCTACAGCCAAGGCGTTGAAAGAAAACTTTACTTCCAAGATTGTCATTTGCAGGTAATTTGAGCTAATTCAACAGCATTATGGTACTTTCCTGTGCACTCAATTTGCCGAACAAAGTGAACTAAGCTTACTATTCTACTGTAGAAAAGGTTCTGATATCATATGTGTACCTAAAACACGGTGTGTGGCCAAGGAGCCTAAAAGCGAGTTCCCGCACATAATCCCAAGTTTATTTACTCAACCATTGATGGACGACAAACTAGGACCACTACTAGTTTTATAAATAATATAACAGATTGCTCAAGTGACAATAACAGCTCTACAAGGTGCTTCACCTTAGAGCATAACAACTATCTCCAGTGTAATGCCCCCGAAAATTTTCGCTAAGCATTACCTCCATGTTCAGGCTTTAAGTGAGACACACGGGTGTTTGAAAAGTTTTGAAGGTATATGATGCCTACATTTTATGTTTAGAAGGTAGCATATGGATGTTTAGGAGAGGGGGGAGAGGGGTTTCAAAGAAGAATAGTCGCACGTGTCCCGACTTCAAACTATCATATCTCCCGGTTTATGATGAATTGAGATATGAGCCATATATAAACTGATGAAAGATCTCTGAATCTAGCTTCCAGAACTTCAAACCGTTCATCATTCCGACATTCCTACGAAAAGTTATGACCCTTTTACCAAAGAGTAGCATAACAGCCAAGGCTAAGCGTGTTACCAAAGTTGTTCCGACACGGCAGTTTAGGTGCTGCACCCATGTCGACACGACACTAGTATGGGTGTGGGTATGGGATCCGTACCGGATCTGGTCAAACAATTTTGGGTACTTTGACCACGACAGACGGAAAAATTCGAAACGAAATACAATTTGATTCCGAAAATCAAAACCAAATCTAGGGTAAATTTGAAGAAAATAGTATAATTTATCTAGGAAATCAATCATTTACTTATCTACAACTTGAAAATAAAAAAAAATCCACTTTACATAAGTATTCCACAAAATTTCTCAAAATTTAGAGGTATTTTTATTTATTTATTATTTTGAATTATTTTTTGCCGGATCCCCGCACCCGTATCTGTACTAGGGTCCGTATCCCCGAATCTTAGAATTTACGTCTCGAAGGATCCGACCTCTAGATCTGCACCCGTATCGGATACCCGCACCCGTGTCCGAGCAACTTAGCATGTTACGTGTGGCCACACATAGTAAGTGTGGCCATTTTAAGAGAACGAGATAAAGGGGGAGAAAGGGAAGGGGCCTCGCTACGTGTTAGCACGCATAGCTACGAGTGGCCACGCATAAGCCCTGCTCCAAGTATAAAAAGGGGCGACGGGAGAAAGAAAAGTTACTCTTTCTCATCACTTTTTAAGAGTTTTTGAGGAGAAATCAAACTAGGGTTCCACACTAAGAATCAAGGAGTTCTTCTAGACCCAAAACCTAGGGTTTGTGGAGGCACTGTTCAAGGTAATTTTCGTTACTTCCTAATATTAAAATTAGTAACTTTATAACAGATTATGACTAGAGATTATAAAATATGTAAGAATTATGGGTGAAAAGTTATGCAAAGCGATTAATGGCCAATAATGCCTCTAATGAACTATAGGGTTGAGTTAGTAACATAGAATAGTGATTGCAACTACTTAATTGTAGATTTTGCAGAGCCAAATTCACGAGTTCCTCGAATGAAAAACTAAAGAACTCCATTAGAGGTAAATTGAGTTAACAGTTTCCTAAGTCAAAGGCTTGATAAAAAATTTCTTAATAAGAAACAGTTTGATAAGAAAGTGCATGCTTGATCCGTAGGTCTAAATGCTTTGACTATCGGTTTGGAAATCCTTGATTGCCTAAATGCTATGAATGTATCACTAGTTCATGATACAGATTATCTTACATAAATTGAATTGCCTTGCATGGTAACTCAGCTAAGCTCAGAATATCAGAAGAATTGATCTCTTGTTTGATCTGATTATTGTTTTGCCATTGCTTGCATTATTTAGATTCAACTCTAATATATGTGATCACATATGGAAAGGGAAAATGGTCTAGTGAACACTCCATCCATGAGGGCCTAGCGTGTGTGAGTTGGTCTAGCGGACATCCTATCCACGAGAACCTAGTGTGCGTGAGTTGGTCTAGTGGACACTCTGTCAACGAAGGCTTAAGGTGCGTGAATTGGTCTAGCCATCCTATCGGCAAGGGCCTAGTGGGTATGTGTGCCGTGGTTGCCTGGGGCTAGCTACCCTACACTCGTAGGTGTTCCATTCTTCAGTTTCAGATTTATGTGTTTGGGAGAAGTAGTTAACCTCCCCAAGTGTAAAAGTCGTAGAGCCAGGGATTGGACCATATATCCCCCACTCATAGGCACCATTATTTGTTAGATGAAATTTTCAAAATAAAGAAACTCATCCATATGCAATTATTAGAATTTAACTCAAACTCCATGCTACAATTCAACTTTCAAATTTCATGTTACAACTCAGCTTTCAAACTCCAATGTTCAGTTATTTAATTTCTTAAGTTATATATTTTTTTTATGAAGTAATATGTTTCATTAAGAAGGCATCAAGAAGATGCAAAGTTACAAGAGGCATATGTGCTAAATAAACAAAAATATTATAGGAGAACAATGTTTGCCCCAAAACAAAGTCTCAATTTAGGACAAGAGAGCTAATAAAGTCCAACAGGTGTCCTGTACTATTTACGGGGGACAACTTTGTCCAGCAAAAAAGATTGAGCAGGCATTTAGATTTGAGTAAGTGATTTGGGGTTGAGGTGCCATCAAAGCATCTTCTATTCCTCTTGTTCCATAAACACCAAAAAATAGTTGCAGGGATCATAAGCCAGATCTTCTTGATGACCTTATCAACTTCCCAAAAACTCCAGCTCATGTCTTCTTGATGACCTTATCAACCTCCCAAAAACTCCAGCTCATGTGTGCCTCTCTCAGGCTCTGTGGCATGACCCAACTTAAGCCAAAAATACAAAAGAACATGTTCCATAGGTCTGTGGCTACTAGGCAGTGTAGAAGTAGGTGATTAACTGTTTCCTGGTGTCTCCTGCAAAGGTAACATCTGTTGACCAACTGAAATACCCTTCTGCATAGGTTATCTTGTGTTAAGCAGGCTTCGTGAAGGGCAATCCAGTTGAAGCATGTCACCTTCACAGGTAATTTTGNACAGGTAACTTTGTTCTCCATATCAGTTTCCAAGGCCATGAATGCAATACCTGATTCTGATTGTTAAGTTGCATGTAGCAATCTTTAACAGTATAAAGACCTTTACAGCCCCATCTCATATTGTCTGGAACATTCTCATCAATGTTGTAGGCCTCTAATCAGCTAGCATTTCCATCAAGTCTTCTATCTCCCAGTCTTGAACAACTCTCCTGAAATGCACATCCCAATTATCATTTGCCCGGTTATGAGCAATTGAAGAATTATTGTCCAAGGCAATGTTGAATAAGCTAGGATAGTCCTCCATGAGAGTAGTGTTGTTTAGCCATTTATCCTTCCAAAACTTAATATGACTTCCACTGCCTGGCTTGAAATGAATATTCTGAAAAAATTCATTCCCCAGTTTGCTAATATACTTCCAGGGCCCTACTCCATGGGATGCACTGACAATTTTGGTGCTCCAATTGTCTTTAATCCCATGTTTTGCATTGATCACCTCTTTCCATAGACTTGGTTCACATGTGCCATATCTCCATAGCCATTTCATTAGCAAACCTTTATTGTGCTTGTCTAGATCTCTGACCCCCAGTCCACCTTTGCATTTAGGTTGCAAGACATTATCCCATTTAATCAAGTGATACTTGTGAGAGCTGTTGTTTCCTTCCCATAGAAAGTCCCTCCTGATCTTGTCCAGCCTTTTAACTACCTTTTTAGGGTTGGGAAACAATGACATGAAATAAGTGGGTATACTGTCAAGCACACTACTGATGAGAGTGAGTCTTCCTCCCATAGAAAGGTATTGTCGTTGCCATGAAGCCAGTCTTTTCTCAAAATTCTCCACTACACCATTCCAGATATCACAGCTTTTGAATTTAGCTCCCAATGGAAGACCCAAATAGGTAGTAGGCAATGACCCTATGCTGTAACCGATGATCCCTGCCAACTCCTCAATGTTGCTCACCTGATTGACCGGATATATAATACTTTTCTGCTTGTTGATGTGAAGTCCTGATAATGCTTCGAATAGCTGGAGTGTAAGATTCAGGTACAAGATTTGGAATCTATCTGCCTCACAGAAGATCAGTGTGTCATCAGCATATAATAAATAGGAGATAGTGACTGAGTTTTCAGTGTTTGTGCCTACACTGAATCCTTGAATCCATTGCATTTGTCTGGCTTTTTCCATCATTTTACTTAAACCCTCCATGGCTAGTATGAATAGGAAGGGGGAAAGAGGATCCCCTTGCCTAATTCCTTTCTGAGGTGAAAAGAAACCAACAGGACCTCTATTGATTAAGACTGAGTACTTGACCGTAGAGATACTGTATCTGATCCACTTTAACCATTTGTCTCCAAACCCCATTTTCCTCAAAATAGATAGCAAGAC